AACAGGAAACAAGGAGAGAAAGAGTGCATTAGCAAGAAACCACTTTTTACAATGAGCAAAGAGGGCCACAGCCACACTTACCCAAAGTGAAGAAGAAGTACATGGGAAATTAAGAAGCACAAAGAAAGTAATTAATACCAGAAAATTGGAAAGCAGATATAGTAGCAGAGCTCCACTTAAGGCTAAAATGTCTTATAAAGGAGTCTGAATTCAAATGGGAAAAACTCATTATTCTGTGTACTCTTGGCCATTATTAGAGCTCTTCTACTCACCAACAGATTCAGAAAATCTGGATTCAGAAGAGGAAGCATCGGAGGAGGATGTGGAGGAAACACTGGAGGAAGAATGATACTCTTTCTTATTTGACAAGGTCTCTTCGGGTTTTGATGCAGATGTTATTACATCCGCTTCAGTGGTCTCATAAATAGACTCTACTTCAGAAACTTCTGATAAGTCCAAACTTTCCTTTTGTTGAATAGCTCCTCTTGAACTGAAAGGAGAAATGTATGGATTCACAAACATTTACAAGATATGACTAGTCCATTCATTATTCTAGTTCTGGCCCTGGCCACCCCCTAAAGCTAGGGCATAAGACAATGAGGGCCAAACTACTCCCAAACTCTAAACTCAGGCACTTCCAACATCAATCATTCACGTGTCATCCTTAACTCTTCACTTCCCTCCCATATCCAGTCCATCAAGAAATCCTGCTGACTCTACCTTCAAAATATATCTTTTCTCACTAACTCACTGGTACCACTCTGGTCTAAGCTGTCATCATTTCGTGCCTGGGCAGCAGCATAGTCTCCCAGCTGATCTCTCTGCTCCTTCCCTTGTTCTTCTATCAACACAGCAACCACAGTAATCCATCTTAAATGTAAGTTACTTCACTCCTCTATTCTGCTTCCCATTTCAAAGTCCCTACAATGGCACCCATAACTCTACAGGATCAGGTCACCATTATCTTTCTGACTTCATTTCCCAGCACTCTTTCCCCTGCTCACTCTACTACAGTCACAATGGCCTCCTTGCTGTTTCTCAAACACCAAGCACGCTTCCAGCTTAGGACCTTTGCATTAGCTGTTTCCTCTGCCTATAACACTCTTCTTACAGATATCCACATGGTAATCCCCTTACCTCCTTCAAGCCTTTTCTCACATTACCTTTTCAATGAGGTCACCCTGATTGCCCTGTTTAAAACTACAACCCATCTGTGATCCCACCTTCTACCCTCAATCCCTCTTTGCCTGTTCTACTTTTAATTTTCCCATAATGCTTATCATATTTTAACATATTAATTTACTTAATACGTTCATTGGTTATTAATCTCTTTACCACTACTAATACGTAAGCTCCATGAAGCAGGCATTATTGTCTATTTTGTTCACTGATACAGCTCAAGCACCTACTAAGTATTCAATAATTATATGTTCTGTATTGTTTTTTTGTGTTTTTTTGGGGGGCAAGGTCTTGCTCTGTCACCCAGGCTACAGAGCAGTGGCACAGTGATGGCTCACCACAGCCTCAACCTCCCAGGCTCAAGCAATCCTCCACCTCAGCCTCCTAAGTAGCTGGGACCACAGGTACACACCACTACATCCAGCTAATTTTTGTTTGGAGACAGGATTTTGCCATATTGCCTAGGTTAGTCTTGAACTCCTGAGCTCAAGTGATCTGCCTACCTCAGCCTTCCAAAATGCTGGTATTATAGGCATTAGCCATCGAGTCTGCCTGGCTAAATTTTTTTTTTGAGATAGGGTCTTGCTCTGTTGTTCAGGCTGGAGTACAGTGGTGTAATCATGTCTCACTGCAGCCTTGAACTTCTGGCTTGAACTTCAAGCAGTCCTTTTGCCTTGGCCTCTCAAAGTGTTAGGATTAAAAGTATAAGCCATTACATCTGGCCAATAATTATTTGTTAATGAGTGAATGAGTTTATTTCTGTTTCTGCATTTTTTTTCCATTGCTAAACACTTGGGGTCTAGAATTGTATATGTTTCATTGAAGGTACTTGTATTAGTGTCCTGTAGCTGCCATAACAAATTACTATAAACTTAGTAGCTTAAAACGACAGTAATGTATTCCCTCACAATTCTAGAGGCCAGAGTCTGAAATGAAGGTGTTGGCAGGGCCATACTCCCTCTGGAGGCTCTGGGGAAGTTTCTTGCCTCTTCTACCTTCCGGCAGCTGCCTGGCATTCCTCAGCTTCCCATGGCTTGTGGTGGCATTAGCCCCAACCTCTATATCCATCTTCACATTGCCTTTTCCTATTCTTTGTGACTTCTCATCTTCCATCTCTTATAAATACTTTTGTTATTGGATTTAAGACCTACCTGGATAGTCTAGAATGATTTCATCTCAAGATCCTTAACTTAGGATCTTTTTTTTCCAAATAAGGTCACATTCACAGGTTCCAGGGATGTAGGACACGGACACATTATTTTGGGTGCCACTAGTCAACCTACTACTATATGCAGTTATTGAATGAATGCTCTCTCAAAGCCAATCTTCATCTTTAGTTTTCTACCCTCTCCTCCTTCATGTGTTTCTATCCCAGTTCACATATATATTCCTAACCTGTCATCTGTTTTACCATGAGTTGACCTCAGTGCCTCACGTGACACGTTTTTTCTCCTGCAAAGCAAAAAAAATCAAGAGAGTGAAGATGGTTATATTCAAGCAGAAGTATGGTAAGAAAAAAAAAGAATATCAGAAAGTGAAGAAAACTAAACGGGGAGAACAAATTGTAGTCAAGGGGTGAAAAATAATGGAGGATTCCCCACAGTGGATGAAGAATCAGGCAATATTCTAGAGCTAGAGAATTCTTATCCCTGGGGGCAAATCTTCTGTCACAAAGGGAAAACTGGGGTCAAGGAGTAGAAACAAAAAATGAACTCAGGAAACCCTTGAGAAGAAACACTGGAGTTGAAAATGGAGAAGCAGACCTCTGGATAATCTGCCGCTTGAACATGTCAGCTTTGACCTGAACCTCCCGATGCGCCATCTCCTCATTCAGCTCTTTCCTGATATTCTGAAAGTTGGTAACTGCCGCAAAGGACCATTACAAGTTGGAAGATGGTAATGACTAGACCTGGGAAGAAGGCTTGGGTGGGGAGAATCCAAGTGAAATATCTAATCCGGAACCCAAGCCTTCCTGCTACAGTAGGTTCTTTCAACCCATAAGCCACCAATCCCAGCTTTCAGATTAATTTCTTCCCAACCACCCTTCCCAAACAAGTTTCACCTCCTCTATGCTTACCCATCATGGCTACTATGATATTTCGAAAGATAATGGAGCCAAGCAACAACCAAAGGATGACATAGATGCTGCTGAAGATGCGACTGGCTTCAGGCACCTTCCAGATATCCTGAAGCAGTGCATACCAGTGATCCAAGGTGAAGAGAATGAACACTGTCACTAGGGAATTCAGGAGGTCCCTAAAGAAGAAGGCATGTGAATAGACAGAAGCAGAGATTTAAACCTTTCAAAAATGGTACCTGTTTTTTTTTTTTTTTTGGAGACAGTTTTGGTCTCGTTGCCCATGCTGGAGTCCAATGGCGCAGTCTTGGCTCACTGCAACCTCCGACTCCTGGATTCAAGAGATTCTCCTGCCTTAGCCTCCAGAGTAGCTGGGATTATAGGCACCTGCCGCCACACCTAGCTAATTTTTGTATTTTTAGTAGAGACAGGGTTTCACCAAGAAAAATAAAGCATTTCTTTGTAGTTTCTTCTGATTTTTGGCTCCTTTTCTACCATACTCAATTTTTAGCTAATCATTCTTCAGTTTGTAGTTGTTTTATTTATTTATTTATTTTTTTGAGACAGAGTCTTGCTCTGTTGCTCAGCCTGGAGTGCAGTGGGGTGATTGACTCACTGCAATATCCGCCTCCTGGATTCAAGCAATTCTCCTGTCTCACCCTCCTAAGTAGCTGGGATTACAGGCATGAACCACCACGCCTGGCCAATTAGTAGAGATGGGGTTTCACCATCTTGGCCAGGCTGGTCTTGACCTCCTGACCCAAGGTGATCCACTGGTCTCAGCCTCCCAAAGTGCTAGGATTACCGGCATAAGCCACTGGGCCCAGCCAAAATTCTCCTTTATCATGAATAATCTATGACTACCTCTCATTATTCCATTAGTCCTGGAGTATAATAAATACTCAATAAATAGGTACTGACTGAATTTTTAAAAAATGAATGAATCACCAACTAGACAGTTTTCTAATTTTTTTTTTTTTGAGACAGTCTCACTCTATTGCCCAGGCTGAAGTGGAGCGATCTCAGCTCACTGCAACCTCCACCCACCAGGCTCAAGTCTCCCAAGTAGCTGGGATTATAGGCATGCACTACCATGCGTGACTAAATTTTATATTTTTAGTAGAGATGGGGTTTCACCATTTGGTTAGGCTGGCCTTGAATTCCTGACCTCAAGGATCCGCCCGACTCAGTCTTCCAAAGTTCTGGGATTACAAGTGTGAGCCACTGCGCCCAGCTGTTTTTTCTAATTTTATTCTCCACTGCTCTGTGGACTCCACTTAATAGATCACTTGCAAATTTAGCAAAACTTAGCCAAATTAGCAAATTTAGCAAAATAGAAGATCAGTCACAAAATTATTCCTATGAGTTTGCTGGTACAAAATGATATGAAAGTAAATGGATATGTTACATAAACATATGTGATCCTAAATAATGAATATATATAAATTATAAAATAATTTTTAAAAATTACTAAAAAAGTAAAAAGTTCCCAGGAAGGTATCTAAATTTTCCTTCCTTTCTTTTTAGTCCCCCATCTACAATTTACTGAAAACATCAGAGCTTGTATAGGATAAATTCTAGGACTTTCCTAACTCAATACTAAAACTACCTGTTAGAGTCTAACAGAGTCCTGAGAGGTACTGACAAGATTGAATTCCAATTCATAAACAGGATTATCTATTCTAAATTCAAGTTGATTTTCTCCTAGAAAACACTGATTAGTCTTTTCTTTTTTTAATATTAAAAAAATATATAATACTTCATAAATTTGTGTGGCATGCTTGCACAGGGGCCATGCTAATCTCCTCTGTAACATTCCAATTTTAGTACATGTACCGCTGAAGTGAGCACTGATTAGTGTTTTCTAGACAGTGATCAGGAATAGGCACGTGCGTAATATGTAGAGATTGCGATAAAACCAGTGATCATATTTGAGAATCATAGTAACATTCATTGATCACTTATAATGTGTTACATACTGTGCTAAATGCCTAAATGCATTACCACATTTATCCTCACACTCGTATGAAGTAGTACTGCTAATACTTCCTTTTTTTTGAGATGGAGTTTCCCTTTTTGTTGCCCAGGCTGGAGTGCAGTGGCGCAACCTCAGCTGGTTGCAACCTCTGCCTCCTGGGTTCAAGAGATTCTGTCTCAGCCTCCTGAATAGCTGGGATTACAGGCGTCCGCCACCATGTCCAGCTAATTTTTGTATACTTAGTAGACATGGGGTTTCACAGTGTTGGCCAGGCTGGTCTTGAACTCCTGACCTCAGGTGATCTGCCTGCCTTGGCCTCCAAAAGTGCTGGAATTACAGGCATGAGCCACCATGCCCGACCTATTCCCATTTTTCAAAAGAGATAACTGAGTCATAGTAACCAAGCTTAACCACTGGAGTGTACTGCCATTTAAAAATGGCTGATGACAGTGTGGTTTTTATTTGCAAAACCCAGAATAAACCTGGAATTAGCTACCCTACCCTCAAGATCAGAGTTAATACCACTCACTATTCTTTTGCTTTCTCTTTCCCTCTTCCTATTGTGTTCTATTTCAGTTTCTTAGAATACACTATACTTCTTACATACTATACTTTGGACAAGCTTCCTGGTTTCTTAGCCAAATTCACTCCCCTCACCCAGCCATCCCCCTGCTCTGCTTACGAGAAGAACATATGGTATTCCAGGTCCTGACGAGGTGAACGGGTGTACTCTACGAAGAAGTAGACACCAGCCACAGCAAAAATGTAGAAGAAGATGAGCAGCAGCATCAAGAGGAAGGTCATGCTCTAGAGGCCATAACCTCAAGTCAGAGGTGGGCCAGACTAGGCTGATCTCCACCAATAGCCCATTCAAGCCCACCTGGCAATCCCTCACCAAACCCTCACTTGCACTCCTGAACCCAGTCATATTTGAACCATGGCAGCTGGCCCTAGCTCCTTCTCATCCAATAACATTTCATAGGATGTTTCATTGCCTTATTTGACCCACCCAGATTTGTTTCATATTCTATGTTATGCCCCCATATTTATCTACCTTGCCCCCTCCTTTAGTTTGCAACAGTCAAATCACCTTGAGGGCCCTGACCAGGGCCAAAATAATAACTCGAATTTGACGAAATCGTGCAAAGAGTTTGAGAGACCTCAGCACCCGGCAGATCCTCAGAAACTGAAGCCACACTGGTTGGCCTGTTACCCCTGCCAACAACACAACTTCAGGAAGCAGGGACTGTAGAAAACATACAGATTATGAGTAAAATATACCCCCAAGCACCCAGGCAAAGTTATACCTTCTTCATCTCATCCTCTTCATTGTTCCCTGGGCATTATCCCTTGAATAGCATTCTCTGATAATTTTTCCATTCAGCCTTTCTATTTAAGTTGCTTAAACACTGTACTTCAACTTGTTCAGATATAAGGGGGATAAAATTCATGGTTATTTAATTGGGTTGTTGCAGAGCATAAACAAGATAATGTAAGTAAAACACTTAAAATAGTGCCTGGCACTTAGTAAGTACAAGGTAACCCAGCAGATGTTATTTATTGTTGGCGCTGATGTGTGGTTAGACTATTTTGCTCCTAATATCAACAATTCCTGCAATGACTGATGTTTAGTTTTGGGGGAAAAAAATCAAAAGAAGGAAGTCAGGTAAATTTTTGTTTCTTCCTTTTATCATGTTAACTTTTCCTGTCCTTTCAGTTGACCTAGGCACCTTCTTCATCCCACTAACAAACCCTCAGGATCTCTATCCTTACCAACATGGTAACAACAAAGTCAAAGACATTCCAGGCGTTCTTCCAGAAACGGGAAAAGCTGGATAGCCACATAAGAATGATCTCCAGGATGAAAATAAACAAGATAAACCAAGCTGCCACCTCCAAGGCCAGCTTCAATGGCCACAGTTTTGTATTTGTGGATTCCAGCAATTCTGTGAGGATAGAGCAAAAGAGGAATAAAAGTTAAGGATGCTGGAAACTGAATGATGGAGAATGATCACTTATAAACCACAGTTTTGCCCACTGCTATTCCATTTTTCTCTTAACACTGTTGCTTCAACCTGTGAAATACTGGGAAGGAGAGAATTGACCACAAAACAAAGCCACAGCTCATCATTGATATAGTTATGTCTACCCAGCCATAAGTCACTTCCTATCCACTCTGGGGGGTCACACAGCCATTAAAAGACTGCACTCTTTAATTACCTCTACCCCTAATCCCCTACACCGACCTACTGTACTGTTATCTCAGTCCCAAAGTTCACAAGAAAGCAATGGGTCTTTAGAACAGAATGAAAATACATGGCCATGATATCTAAAGTACTTTATAAAAAATGCAAAAACAAGAAGCCAGATTCGTTGGAGAATATCGAATTATAACAATAAATCACTTGGCTCTTTGTTAGCTTTCTTTTAAAACTTTTCCTTTATTGTTTGCCTAAAATTGGTTTTGTTCTGCAAAGCAAACTGAATGCATACTTCCTCTCTAGAACCCTATTATTTACTAATTGCTATTCCTTAATTCATTGCCTTTCTCTTTCAACCTTCTTCTCTTTTGTACAATTAATGGACATATACCATGTTCTAGAAAAAAAAAACACTGAGATTAAAATAGATTTAAGAGCTAAATAGGAATCAACATTGTGGTACTCTGGCTTTAAAGTCATCCTGATGTTGAACTGGATCCAAACAAAAAGAACAGAGCCATACTTCAATCATTTCTAGAATTTTACAGAGGTTGATCCCTTCTAAAAACCAGTGGAGTCACACTATGCTTATTCCTATGCTTATTTTGAGACAGGGTATCATTCAGTCACCCAGGCTGGAGGAGTGCAGCGGCATAATCATAGTTCACTGAAGCCTCGATCTTCTGGGCTCAAGGGAACCTCCCATATCAGTCTCTGGGTAACTGGGACCACAGGCACATGTCACCATGCCCAGCTAATTTTTTCTTTAAATTATTTGTCAAGATGGGGTCTCCCTATGCTGCCTAGGTTGGGCTCAAACTCCTGGGCTCAAGTGAGCCTCCCATCTTGGTCTCCCAAAGAGCTGGACTTACAGGTGTGAGCCACTGCACCAAGCCCTTCTATGCTTATTTAGGATCTGTGCTTCTTCGGTTAGTTTGTCTTTCACACACGTTTCTCTAAGATGAACAATTTTTCACATTTTAACATCTATGAAATTAGAATGCATTTTATAATCAGTGATGTGTCCCAGTTTAATTGGGGATGTTTTATTTCTTAGTGGTAGAAGTGAATTTCACCTTGATGACAGCTTAGATTCAGTAAAATACAATTTTTTTTCACTTAACAATAAATTTTGGCTCGCAGGAGCATGGGATTATATAATTAGAGGTGAGGACCATATTTGTGGCTGGAAAGTAGAATGCTATCATTCAGTTTTTGCCCTTGCAAAACAGGAACCCAAAGAGAGCAATGAAGTAAAGTAAGGGTCTTGTAAAGCAGAAGATAGTTTTAAGTAGTTTAAGTAGGGAAGTCCAAATTACAGAAGCAGTAGCATTTTTACTCTCTGAGAAAGAGGAATAATTTTATAAAAGCTAAACAAACCCAAAAAGTTCAGAGGAACAAACAGCAGAAATTGCCTCAGCAGGACAGAAAGCATAAAAGTGACTGCCTCCACTCTATATCACATAATGTTTCCTATCTAAAGATGGAAATATAACTTCTTAAAATTCTTGGAATTTTTCAGCCTGCTATAACAAGACAAAAGAGTCTTAATGGAAATAGAGTCCAGGAGCCCAGTGAAGTCTACCCAGGAATCTAAGCCAGTGTAGTGAGTTAGCAGTGAAGATCTATGCTTGAATATTCTCTTGGGGTAAGAGACAGTAGCCATTTGATCAAACAAGTCAAGCAAATGTATAATTCTGTTTCACAAGGTAGACTTCACCATGAACAGTCATCTACTGCTACTCTCTATTCTAGAAAAACAACAGTAAGTCACCTCACAGAATACCAGATAAATTGACATTGGTTTCAAGGAGTCCAATACTATGGGTAAGGAGAATAGTAGACTGTAACAACAAACTGATATGTAGATTTTGACATTTACACATTTTTAGTAACGTTTTGGCTAGTTATATCCATCATGAAGTAAGGAACACTGATGCTGAAACACAATTTCTTTTTTTGAGATGGATTTTCACTCTCGCCCAGCTGCCATCTCGGCTCACTACAATCTCTGCCTCCTGGGTTCATGCGATTCTCCTGCCTCAGCCTCCCAAGAAGCTGGGACTATAGGTGCGCACCACCACACGCGCTGATTCTTGTATTTTCAGTAGAGACCAGATTACACCATGTTGGCCAGACCAGGCTGGTCTTGAACTCCTGACCTGAGGTGATCCACCAGCCTAGACCTCCCAATTTGCTGGGATTACAGGTGTGAGCCACCACACCCAGCCAGAAATACAATTTCATAAAGAGCTTAAGAATGATAATTCTGCAAGTTTAATCTCAAGATGATCTTCATCAGGTTCTATAAATTCCATTCATTTGATCAAAAACTTTATATAGCACATCAAGTTATCTCTAGGACTTAAAAGTTAATGTAAAAAATTGTAATCTTCAGGAATACACCTGCCTTTGGGAAAAAATTATAATATTATACTTAGGTTTTATTTTTATTTTTGAGACACGGTCGTGCTCTGTCACTCATGCTGCAGTACACTGGTGCGATCATAGCTCACTGCAGCCTCAATCTCCTGGGTTCAAGTGATCCTCCCACCTTAGCCTCCTAATATACCCAGTTTTTAATTTTAAATAAGGATTGTCTACACTTGCAATGTGTTATTTTCTGAGAAAGGCTTGAAAATGAGTCAAATCTTTTTTCATTCTCATTATTT